CCTGATTAAAAAATGAGCAAAATTCCTGAACACACACCTCATCAAAGAAGGAATCTAGATGCCAGAGAAGTCTATGGAAAGATGCTCCACAGCATCTGTCATCAAGGGGATGCAGACTGAAACAGCGAGGTACCACTGCACACCTGTCAGAACTGCCAAAACGCAGAACACTGACAGCACCGAATGCTGGTGAGGATGTGGAGCGACAGGAATTCTCATGCATTGTTGGTGGGAATGTAAAATGGCCCAGATACTTTGGAAGACGGTCTGGAAAGTTTTTACAAAACTAAATGTACTCCTACCATATGATCCGGCAACTGTGCCCCTTGGTGTTTACTCGACGAAATGGAAACTTATGTCCACACACAAATCTGCATACAGATGTTAATAGCAGCTTTATTCATAATCACCAGAACTCAGAAGCAACTAAGCTGTTCTTCAGTAGGTGAATGGATAAACAAACTGTGGTCCAGCCAGAAAATGGACTATTATTTGTTGCTAAAATGAAATGAGTTATCAAGGCATGGAAAGACATGGAGGAACCTTAAATGCATATTACTAAGTGAAAGAAGTCAATATGGGAAGATTCTGCAACTGTCTGATTCCAACTGTATGGTGTTCTGGAAAAGGCAAAACCACACAGACTAAAAGGTCAGTGGCTGTCAGAGGTTAGAGGGGAAGGAGCAATGAATGAGGTGCAGAACGGAGCATTTTTAGGGTCACTAAGACAGATTACTCTGTATGATGCTGTGATGGTGGATACGTGTCATTGTACATCTGTCCAAAGCCACAGAGGGCACACCACCAAGTGTAAATACTAGTGTCAAGTATGGGCTATGGGTGATGATGACGTGTCAGTGTAGGTTCACCCATTGTCACAAATGCATGCTTTGGTGCAGGTGTCAATAGCGAGGAGGCTGTGGGGCAAAGTGCATTTCACACCCCCAATCTGACCCCAGCCACCGCTGTGAATAAAGCTCTGTGGGTGTGTGGACTGTCCGGCTGCACTGGAGTCTGAACAGCAGAGCTGAGCAGCTGCACCAGAGATCAGGAGGTTTGCAGGCCCTGAAATATTTACTCCCAAGCCCTTGACAGAAAAAAGTCTGCTGAGCCCTTTTCTACACGAATCAGAATTCACCCTGATGAGAAAGAACAGCAGGGCCCAAACCAGGCATGATTAATGGGACTGAAGCAATGTTTTAGTTCCAACACCTTTGCTGAAGTCCTGCAGATCCAGCGACAGACTGTAGCCAGGAAGCGTCTGCAGAAGGAGTCGGTAGTAGGTCTTCCCGCCAGGCTCCAGGATGCCGGGGGCCGCGCACTGCACGGGGGCCACCGGCTTGAAGAAGGCGGACTTGCAGTGGAAGCTGATCAACTCCTTGAGCTCGGAGAGGATGCTGCACTGCTGGATTCTCTCCTCGGAACGCTGAAGCACAGGATAAAAACAACAAGCATCTGAACGAAACATGTAAGTGAAAAAATATACGTAAAAAATATTTCCCATAAAACAGAGACCCGATGACACAGGAAGAAAGAGGAAGGCTGACAGTGCACTGACGGGACCGGATGCAGAAACACAGGGAAGCAGCGCTGTGCAGACGCTCCAGACCCCCTCTGGGCCCCACCTCACTGCGTTCAGCATGTCCTATTACTAGAAAGGCCCATATTCCCTGAAACAGAAGAATCTGCTACCTAAAATGAGACACAGAAAAGGGAAAGAGGAAAAGGAAGGGAAAGTAAAGGAACAACAGTTTATCTAGACCCTAGGGTTTTGGCGGGACTTTCACCAAACACACAACTTCTCAAAGCACAGAGCACACAGTGGGAGGCTGACAGAATGACTGCGACTTCTGCTCCTTAAGCACCAGCTTCCTGTCAGCACACTCTGCGCCCCTTACTGAATCATTACTATCATCTCAGAAACTATTAGGACCCCGGCTCACAGACAAGGATATCTGAAACTCGGGGAGGAATTATTATCACCCTGGACAAATTTCCACGGCCCAGAAGTGTCAGAGCCGCCGGCAGACCCTGGACTAAAATGCTCCTAATCACCACGGGCCCTGTGCTTCAGGATGAGGCCACATCAGGTCTGCACGGGCCCAGAGCACAAGTCTGTGGGACAGGGAATGTTCCCACTCTAAGTGCCAGGCCAAGTCCCTAAGGAACCTATGAAATGAAACCAAATCCCCAAACACATTTCCAGCCCACTGCCCTGTCCGGGAGGACCTCTCGGCACATCTGCACTGTCACCTGGGCACAGGCAGTGCAAGGGGCCCAGACAGTGACGTGACGTCCCAGTGGAAGTGGCTTGGAGGCCACTTCATCACAGGACAGACTCTCCCGGCTTCCAACATTAACCCTCCATTCTATTTCCAACTGGAAAGTAAGTTCAGTTTTGTTTTCCTCTCCTGGAAACAAAGAGAGTGGTAACATCAGCAGGAAACTCAAGACAGAGGAAGAGTCTCCTGTCCATCTGGAAGGATAGGCCGGCGAGGGAACAGAGACAGGAATCAGAAAGACCCGAATTCCAGTCCAAAGTCTGCATGTCACTCTCTTTGATAGTTTCCTTATTAATACAGGTGATAAAATCTAATTATGATTGTTGGGAAAACTAAATGAAATAACGTAAGCCACTAGCATACGTCTAAAATCCTCCATGAGTGTTCCAGAAATGGACGTGATCGTGGTTAGTTACTGTCTGCCAAGTCTTGGGTGCTAAGCCCACATCAGCCAGCCAGAGATGTGCCAGAGAATGGTTCACCAGCCAGCAGCCTTCTCCAACTTGGAAACTCACAGTGTCTGAAGAACAGGCATTGGTGGATGCTTTGGGACACTCTGGAAGTAGCACTCCAGTGATGACTTTAAAAAGCTGGGGAAAATTTAGGGGACCATACAGTTCAAATACAGAAAACACATTCCATGTCTACAAACATTCATCTCTAGCCATGATGATTCAGAGAGGAAATACATATTCAAATTTTCACCAATTTCCCCCATAAGTGCATCAAAACAATTTGGAAAGAATGTAACTTTCTTCTCTAGATCACAAAGCGGGGATTACAAGGTTTGTACTGAGAGCCCTACTTGTAAAACATCTGCTAATGTAACTGGGTCCACTATCAGTCATCATCATTTGAAGAGAAGGATGGAAAAGAACAAAGCCAAGCTAATACGCTCCCTTCTTTTGTTCGGTTACGATGTCACAGAGGAGACGGACAGGTCAACAAGGAACCACTTCGCAGTGATCACGGAGCCGGGGAACGGGATGGCCGACAAGACGTATGACGCAGCCGCAGCTGTGCCCGCGCTTCTAGGCAGGTACCCAAAGTCATCTCGACAAGGTGTCAAACGCTTGTGCCCACGTCCCCATCACCTGACATGTATTTAAGAGAAATGAAAACCTATAAACGGCCAATACCCTTGGTGGGTACATCGTCCAAAAGCAAAGTCACAGTTTGACAACTGGCCATCTCTGTTCCCTGGGATTCATTCTTGGAGAACCTTAAAAACCACTTCTCTGTCCTCAAGAAGTGCTGCCTACTTGTCCTATTTTTGGCTCAGTGATACAGCACATTCACGTGGACTTTAATGTCTGCACAGATTTGACTGTCTTTCTCCAGGTTCACTTCTCCATTCTGAAGAGGCCTGAGTTAAGTCCATCCTCCGTAAGATCAATTTCCTCCAGTGACAACTCATCAAGACTTCAACTAAAAGCCAACTGAACAGGACTGTCCTCAGCTAAAAATGTCAGCCACCCTTCACTGCTTTCTTAATCTCCTCTCCTGGCTAATTGCTACAGACAAACACCTCCCTCCACCAAGTTCCCCAGCTATGTCACTTTGTCTCCCCAAAGAGAAAGTAAGGTCCATAAAAGAGGAGACAACTCAATAGTCACCTCTGAATTCCTAGCATACAGTTATGTCAATAACTAGAACTGTAATTATGGCTTCTTTCCTTTAAAACCTTTCTGGTTATTTGAATGAGACCTTGGAAGAGAGGTGTTTGGGTCCAGTATCTTGATCCAGAAGACTCTGGAGGCCTTATTCGGAATGGCTGTTCACTAATTCATGCAAAATACAACTTCTCATTCCGGGAGTAGTTGTGTTTTTCTGCCAGGAGTTTGTGGTCACTCTCATGCCAGAGCAGCTTTAAACTAAATACTTACATTGGATTTGTTATTTTTCCCCAATTGCAACAAAATTGACTTTCCTTACTTTCTTGCCTTGAGGAATTTTTTTACTTCCTTTCTAATTCACCCTTTCGTAAAACAGGCTTCTCAGGATGTGCTTGGCCTTACATAGGATCAGCCATCCAACTCCCAGTGTGAGAGGACTGGGGCTCACCTCCTGCCCTCATGCCAGGGCAACTGAAACTCAGTTCAAGAGCCAACCAGCACCTCAGGGCTTCTAAGGTTCGCATATATCCCAGAATCCCTGCTTTCTGGTTTGTCTTGTCTTCTGAGGATTTCCTCTTACTTTCTTGACAATTAGCTGTGCAGCTTGAAAGATGAGGAAGGAAGGTTTTATTTCTTAATCAGCATTTTAAGGAACTTGTGTAATGAAGGTTTTCACGAGTTTCTAGAACCCTCCATTGCCGACACAGAAAACACACTATATATTTTCTAAATTTAGGTATCATGTGCATTTTTTCTTTTGTTTTCTTAACTGCTAACAGAAATTTTTTAATTAAAAAAATATAAATCCCCAAATAGGATAGAACCTTGAAGGGGCAAACAAAATTAAAAGGCACAGACATAAAAATGATACGTACTCTACAAACTTAATAGAATACATACACTATGAATCAGATCAGCAATTCTCAGCAACAGCTAATTGAAACATGACCATGAGGTAAAACTTCTCTCCTGTCAGGAGATGGCCAACAGTAAATAGAATTAAAACAACAAATTAAATTTCTATGTCTGGCGAGGTACAGAAGGCTATCAGCTAAATGTGTCTTCTTCTGGAAAAGAGGGAGGCTCACCAGCTCTTTACTGTGGGGCCTGAGCCCAGGGGAGGGCGGTGAAGTGAGCTCTGTAAGTACCCAATTAGGAAAGTGAGTGATGAATAAAGAGACGTGAGCTTTGATGACAGAGATGATACTAATATTCACTTGTCCTGTAAAGTATGTCTTCACGTTCAGTGATCAATACCTCAGCGTCCTCAGGGATTGAGATTATAGGAAAATGCACAGCCCGGGCCCAGACCTCCTCTTTGAGCTCATGACACTGCACTTAGATGTCTCAAGGGCACCTCCATCTCCAACTGTACAGAGCTGACTTCACAGTTCTCCTCCCATAGCTGTCCTGCCTAGGTCCCCTGGTCGGGGGGGAAGGTCTCCCTGCCTCTTCCAGCTCGGGCCCATCACTCACAGATGGGCCTGGACCCCTCCTTCAGGGCTCAGATTTCCTCAGTCACTGAGTCCCACCACCCACACCTGTCCTACCAGGTACTCTCTGGCACTCACTCAGCCCTGACTCTGTGCTGAGGACCATGCTGCACACTGTGCACACGTTATCTCACTGGATCTCCACAGCAGTCCTGGGAAGTCGGTACATCACTGCTTCAATTGATTAGATAAATTGTTTCACTTCCTTGAGTGTGTCGTCCAAAGTGACACGGCTATTGTGTCACAAAACTGGGACTGCAAACCACTTCAAAATTGAACACTGGTACACCTCGCAACCACCCTACTCTGACTCTTCACATCACCTCCTGCCGAGCCTAGTAAATGTTTGCAAGCATTCTACAATACAAAAGTGATCTACTAGAGGACCCCACTCTCCTACTTAAAATCTGTCAATGATGGTCCACTTCTCTTCAGAGAAAGCCCCAACAGGCCAGAGCACAGCCCAATGGCCCGGCATCCTCATTCCCTGCACGGCCGCTCCACCTCACCCACCATGCAGCACTATACATGCCGTGTCCAGGACAAGGGTGCTGACTCTGTACAACCCGGGGCTCGTCTCACTCGAACAATGGTCACTCTCTTCAGTGGTCACCCTCTTCAATACTGACTCTCAGAAAAATGTTTTCTCAGGATGAAACAATATCTTTTTCCTTACAACTTCCAGTCATTGATAATATGCTTCCCCCAAAAGAGAGAAGACCTATTCCTCAGTCTCCTTATGTGTAAAGTGGGAATAACAAGGAAATATGTGAAGTTTTAAGAGAAATAATATTCATGTAAGACTGAGTGACAATTCTCAACATACAGTAAGCAATCAATATGTGCTTACTTAATATTAATAAGAATAGATTCCATTCCAGCAACCTTAAATCAAAGTTTTATGGCTTTGTCAAACAGACTACAGACAAAATGTTGGACGAAACCCTTTGAGCAGATCAGCACAAGCGTACTGGGAGATGTAAGTGCTGACTGCAGTTACAGTTGCAGCCACCCAGCACTACGGGGCAGGGGCAG